AAATGTTTTTCTTCAGCAGATTGTATCTGATCTTCTAGATGCATAGTGAATCAATGGCTTATTGCAGACACAATTTTCAGTTTACTTCCAATTATGTGACATTTGTTGGGTTGTATGATGTCATATGAGGCATAAGTATTTATTTACTACTGTTTTTATTTTTGCTTAATCTTACATTACTTAGCTGCTTGCCCACAATTATTTTCTAAAACTGTATAACAGTTCAGTTTCTCCAAAGGTGAACCACAAAAAAAAAATTAATGGCATCAATGACTATAATTTATTCCTGGAGTAGTAATAGGTACATAGAGTACTTTCCAGCCACGTGTGTTCATTGTTTCAGCTGATGTGATTTACATAGTGAAATATGAGTCTGGCTCATGTAATTGAATGCTACGTCTTGGGCTGCAGGACAATAAATGAGATTAAGCTGTATTACATTTCTGAAGGCAGAATATACAGTTTTTAAAATGGGTGGGTTTTAACATTTAGCTTCAGAAAAGAAGTTACTTTAAAAGTGCACATTTTCTGACTAAACAAGAAGTAGGCTAATGTACATTGGCAATGTTTGTTATCGTAAAATCTAATTAAATTATGATTCATCTAATTGAGAGCTTATCATCTTTGCATTTGTGTCTGTTTTCCAAAGAAGTGTTTCGAACATGCTTTCCTAGTCTGTTTTAAATAATTAGAGTTAAATAAAACTCTAAAAGTAAAAACAGTAGTCTAATTTTAAACTTATGTAGGATTTTATATTCTGTTTCAGTTTTTCAGTTTGATAGTGTTTTTAAACATAAAGTAATTGTCTTTGGGGAAGATCTATAGTGGGCGGGGTGTATACAATTTTTGTATTATACAAAATAGTAAGTAGAATTTATGGGGTTATTAAAGCCTTAGTTTGGCAAACTGCCGTATAGTTGCATCATCCTGTAATCATAATCTTTTTCTGGCTCCTGACCTTACTCTAAGAAATACCATGCTTTTAGTTATCCTTTCACACTTAACTTGTAATTTGATTTTCTTATTAGATTATTAACAGGAAAAAAGGCTTTAACTTTCATATTAAAAATTAATATTCTACAGTCTTATTGCAGCCCCAGCATATGATTCTTCAAATAATCAATATGGATACTCCAGTGTTTGCTAAATGTTCAGTGCTTGTGATTTATAACAAAGGGCTGCTGTTGGATTAATACCCATAGTATTGCACACGTACGATGTGTTTTGTTTTTCCCGTTCTTCACTTTTTTTTTCTAAACAGTCATTTTAAGAAGTGCTCAGCCTTTTTTCAGAACAAATGCTTTGACTTTGCCCTGCTGCTGAATGATGCTGTGCAGAGAAGGCAATGGCAAGGAGTTTGTTGGTTTTGACAGCACCACTAAAAGCATGAAATGTTTCTGAAGGATTGGCAGAGCCTTGTAATAAGGGCTGCAGGAAATGACTGTATTGGGTGTGGAAGAAAGACACTGTCCAGATTTAACACACGAGCTACCGAAATACTTGAAAACAGAGGACAGGAAATGGTATCATAGGATAGGCTAAAATGCTATACAGAACTCCATTGTTTATACACAGTGTTATTGTTCTGAAGCTTAAATTCAGCTCAGAATACTGCAATTTTGGCATATAAAAGGTCACACTGAGAGCCCTAGTGAGTAATAAAGTGCTGTTTGTTATTAGATTAAAAACCAGGCTTTACTTTTTTGGTAACAGTAAGTTCTTTGAATGTTCTGGCATTTTTGCTCAAAATGGAAGATACTGTAACCATTTTTTAGATGTAATTTAGTGAAAATGGTGCTATTTTCTAATAATTTTTCCTCCCTCACATCTGTTTCCAAATCCACTTAATTTTGACTCTGTGCATTGTGCAAGATTTCTCTTGCCATCTGGTGCTATGTAGGCTGTCTATAACTAATGTTTACACTCATTTATAATGGATAGGTATTGATGCATAACTGTATTTAACAAAACCATGATTCTATGAAAACCATCTCACGGAACTTAATTTCTCTTTTTTTTGGCTGGTTGGTTTTTCTGTGTGACCTAGCTGTGACTAGTTTTGTTCTAGCAGTCAAGAGTGTATTTATCTCTAGTATGTATTCTCAGCTCAACTTCTCAGCCACCTTAACAGAATTTTATCACTAACCTAGAAGCATGCAACTAATTCCGCTGTTTTCTGCTGAGGAATGTAGATGCCTTAATCACAAAATGAGTTTTTGCTGTGGTTTTTAATACACAAGGAAGAATGCTGACATAAAAAGCTTTCTCTTCTTTCTGCTGTCTGTGTTCTTTCTTTTCCCCTTAACTTCCGAGTTAAATGGTAGAATTCTCAGAAAGCGTATTCCCATACCTCCCATACAAATGCTTCAGGAAAGTACTAAATTAGAATAACTCCTTCTTGCTCTGTTAACCTTGAAAAACTCAAGGGACATATCAGATCATCCATGTATGGTCAGGCTTTTGGCACAGTAGGAAATCCACAAAGAAAGTAAATCCAGAATTTGAAATCCTGGCTTTAAAGTTGTGAATGTACTGCTCATCCATATGTGAACAAGAATACTGTGGTGGCAAATTCCAGTAAATTCTACCTACTTAGATTTTTTTTTTTCTTTAAAAGCATTTAGCAATAACTGTGTTTGCAAAAGACCTTTATAAAACTCAGTAGACTATCTTCAGATCAACACAAGAGCTTTGCTGTAATTCTGAAATTAATCTGGCTTTTTCCACTTCTAAATTGATAAAACAGTATGTAGAGTTCCATTTATGGTGGATGGGGAAAAGGTGAGGATTGCATTTGGCAGTTCCTGTACCATGTAACAAGGATCAGTAGTAATGAAGGAGACTCCCTCGTTAGCATCCTGCTAAAAAAAACCTGCTGAATTCACACCTAGGTTCTCAACATATGCTGGATAAGTATCTTAGCAGTACCAGTCACCTTTATGAAATGGTGTGCTGTTACTGATATATGTTACTGTTCTTCATTCTGGCTAAGCTTTTAAAAGCATTAAAAATTTTGCTAAAGAAGGTAGAATATGACACTGACAACTTTCTTATTTTAATTGCTTTTAGATTAATATGTACTTAATGGAATAAAATTGGATTGGGTATAGGGGCCTGTTCAAATTAGAATAATAATACAAAATTCATACCAGTGTGGCGCTACAGGCTATTAGAAGAGAATTTCCCACACAGTGAACTTTGTGTAATAGCCCTTTCCCTGAATTGTGACTATAAAGGGTGCTTTCAGAACTGCAATACCTAGTATAAACATAACCTTACTATGAATTGTATTTATTTATACATACACAAGTTGTGTAGTGTGCACTATAAGGTTCCCTGTTGTGAAATTCTCCTCGCTTAACTTTTTTTCATTTGCAGCTAAATAAGGTGTGTGTATTTTGGGAATTGTTGCTATAAATATGATAAAATCATTGGAATGTGGCTTTTAAATTTTTTTCTGAGATACATATTTTTTTTGGTTAACATGATTGGTGCTTTTGTCAGTACAGGAAAACAGAATACTAGGCACTTAACTGTGTTGTCTTGTTTCTTTTTTTCTGATCTGAGTGTAACCTGTGCCTTGAGTGTATTCAGCTTTTGGGGATTTCAGTGCTGAAGCCAGGACCTGCAGGCTTTGGCTTATCTAATTCTAGTTAGAGTGAGTTTCATAGAATCATTATGGTTGGAAGAGACCTCAAAGATCATCAAGTCCAACCGTATACCGGATGCCACCATGCCCACTAAACCCACTAAACCATGTCTTGAAGCGCCACATCTAAACGTTTTTTGAACACCTCCAGGGATGGTGAGTCCACCACCTCCCTGGGGAGCCCGTTTGAATGCCTAACGACTCTTACAGTGAAGAAGTTCTTTCTAATGTCCAGCCTAAACCTCCCCTGGCACAACTTGAGACCATTATCAGAATAAGGTAGAGAACAACCTGTGTAAAATAAATCGGTGGGCATAGATGACATGGATATCTGTGTCTAGAACTTGGAATGAATCTGAAGGGAAAGGAGTTGTTCCCATTATTGTTGCCAAGTATAATAATCAGGCAGTATATATTTTTGAGACTGAAATTAATTTATTTAGAGAATAGGTACTGGAGTCCTGCGGATCTTGAAGATCTTTGTAGAATATATTTTAGAAACAGAGACTTTAAAGAGCTAGGTTTTTTTATTCTCACGGACAACAATTCAGTGTAGTTCATGTTCTGTGAGGGTGGGGATGAAGTGGGGTTGTGTAAAAGCACACACTTTTTTGCAAGCTCAGCCTGGAGGAACTTGAAAGGGCAAAATAAAAACCCACAACAGATGTGATTAGAAATAGTTCTTAGGCAATATGCTCTTCTCAGCGTTTAAGCTGCCACAGTGTGCCCTTGAGGTGATATTACCTTTATGTATTGATCTAGTGAAAGTGGTTTTTGTTTGTTTGATTATTCAATACTGTGTCTCTTGTGAGAAGTTTGTTGTTGGAAGTTTTACAAAAGAAATATTTCGTAACTTGCTCATGTGCCGCAAACTTTTGTATTGCTACTTCTCTTCAGTCTTACGGTATATTTGCTTTTCCTTTTTCAGGAAATGGGTTTGTGAATTCTCGAGCTTCACCAAGTCTACTTGGAACTACTGGTGGTGGGAACGGCTTAGGCAAAGTCATGCCTACAAAGTCTCCACCTCCACCTGGAGGAGGTAATCTTGGAATGAACAATCGCAAACCGGACCTCCGTGTTGTCATCCCACCCTCCAGCAAGGGTATGATGCCACCATTGGTAAGTTAAAACATTTATTCTATGACTGGTTTTGTGAAAATGAAGTGTTCTGTCCACATGCGCAGGGAGAAACTCTCTCATCTGCTTACCATAGGTTACAGTAATAGAAAGGTGTTTGTATTCTGAAATTTCACTAACGAAAATCTAAGTTGTAAGTTGTTACCTTGGGAGAAGTTAAATTCGTAAGGAATTGTTTTTCTTTTTGTTTGAGTGCAATCCTAGAGACATAGACTGGGATTCTGTTGTTTTGATTTGACATCTCACTGACTGAGAACTTTGTTGGTTTGAAGGATGTGGGTTTTAGAAAGGGTTATGCATTATTCTGTGGAGGAGTGGCTGATCTTATTGGTGATGTGAATTGTATTAACGTGCCCTAAAGCACACTTTGTACCTGTTTTTCCTGGGTCATAATGGTTGTGGGATGTAAAATGTAGCTTCAGTGGTAATGATGGTCTGAGAGAAATGCTTGTTTGCTGTGGTGTGCTGGAATGCAATCTTGTTTTTCCTATAGTGGATGTCACGTCTTCGATGAAGGCATAAAAGAGTAATGAGGACCAAGCTCAGTCCCTGTTTGTGTACTTTTCAGTACTACTGTGCAGTTTGGCATGTTGGTAATAATGTTTGTTCAGCCTAGATTGGGAATAGCACGCGAGTTTCGTGTCAGGCATGAGGCAACCACAGCGTGGAGACCAGAACAGGTCTTTCAGGAAGAGTTGCTCCATTTTTCCTTTAATTTGGCTGGCCAGATCCTTTGGTCTTAGTCTTTCACTGTCGTGTAGAAATTTTAAACATCTATGTGTACATTTTCTGTTCTGTGTGTATGGAAGAATGAACCATAACCAAGAGGAGCAGGATATAAACAATACAAGTACTCTCTGGATATTTCTGTTTGTTTTTAACATACTGCAAGTGCTTACATTTGTTACTTGTATTCGTGATGAATAATGCAAAATTAATCCAAGTAACAAAAGCTATAATTATCCTCAAAGTAATGATTATTGAAGCTTTAGTTTTTTCTAGGAATCCTGAAGCGTAGAAGATATAGGAAATAAACTGACTATTGAAGTGAAAATTACACTTTTAAATTAATTCGAAATAGATAAAGAGGAGGATCTTGTTAATGCAGTTCTAGTGTTAGTAGTGTCTAGTACCTATTTACTGTTGTGTTGTTAAGAACAATGTAATACTCAATTTAGGTTTTGTCTGTCTTTTTGAGGAAATTGGGAAGAGATTTCAGAGTAGAGATACTGGGGATGGTATGATGGTTGTACGTGAAAAAGACTTTGTTACTGAGCTGGATGTTTATTGGATCAGTCCAACCAGAAACTGCTGTGCTCTGTATCTACATGTGTTATCAACGTGTAGCTGTGTCCTTGTTTTTACTAAGCTCTTTCTGCACTACTTTTTGCCAAAGCGTGTGTTCTTTCAGTACGGTATTTTTTAATTGGCTTGAATTATGTAAAGTATTATGCTTCCTAGTAGTAGTATTTACAGAATCAGGTGGCAAATTCACATTACTAATGAAAATAAACAAAAAACCTGAAGCACAAATGTGACGTTTTCTTACATTTTTGAAAGCAATGCTAATTTTAGTAACTGTGTTATCCCTCTTGTTTGCTGAGTACAGTCGGAGGAGGATGAATTGGAGTTGGTGAGTTTGGGCTACTGTTTGATGAGAGAGCGCAAGATGCTGAAAATGTCTTTTACTACAGCTTTTTAACTGTAGTTTTATTACATATTTTAAATAATTCCAGTGTTCCCTTGGTAGCAGACAAAAATACATTTGTTTTATCAAACTCAAAACCTAACCAATTCAAGTTGAAAACATATCCAAAGTCTAGTGCTTTCCATTTGTAAACTTCTATTTTTTTTTTCCTGAAAATACTTCTGTTTTTCTTGGAGGGAACATTGGAAAAAAGCCTTACAGAGTAACTGTCCATGTGTGTAGGATATTTACTGTCTTTTATGTAAAATACAAATAACCATTTATCATCCTCTAAATTATTGGAATATTTTTAGAACGTGGCTTCACTCATGAAGTTCTTCAGATTGTAACACAAGCCCTGTATTACCTCTCTTATTTTCAAGGAGATTACATCATTGCTGGTGAGGTCACCTTTTTGGAGTTTAGAATTATTTCATCCTGCGTGAGATTATCAAACCACAGGGGTGTTCCCTGTTTACCAAAATGAACAGAGAATTGCAAATGAATAATTCTACCTTTTTTCCAGTGGAAAGATATTCTGCTTTTGAAAGGAAACTCTTGGGATTTGTCTTTTTTTCCAAAAGGTTTTAACATTTGGCATTCTGTCTGGAAAATAACGTAAGGCTAAAATAATTCGTAACTTATTTTTAGAGCAATTTGCAAATTGTTTAGCTGCTGAAGCAGAAGATGCTGCATCAGAGTGCGATTGTAAAGATACACAAAAAGTCAGCGTGTTACATGCCCTGATCTGTTTTTGAACATGGACCTGTTGCTAATACGAGGCTCTAATTGCATGAAAGCATGGAAAATGTAGTGATCTAGATAAACTTCTTGATGAATGCATGCTGTTGGTTGATTTTTACCTTAAACGTGAGCAACAGATTTACAAAAATAAGGGGAAATGATTTTTGAAAGTCAGTATGGAAGTTTTTAAGGTTTATTGGAATGACTTGCTAATTGAGCAGTTAAACAGCTGTCGCGCATGTTCTTCTCACCTTTATAGAGAAGTGTCTGGTTTCCAGTGCGAGAGGTGAAGCGCTAATTCAACGTAAAAACACTTAATCAAAATATCATTGCAATTGGAATTAATGCAAAAACCCTTGAATTAAGGTATTTCCTACCCACTAAAACGCGGTGCTGGTTGCAGCGTGACCTGGCGCGCCTTGCGGCAGGCGGGTTGGTTCATGGGTACTGCGGGGAGCGCGGGCCCTCTAGTGGTTTTGGAACCTGGCCTCCTCTGGTAGGGGAAGGCAGCTCCCACAAAGAAAATGCAGTAGTGTCTTCCTCAGACGGGGTAAAGAAATCTGAAGTACACCTGCAATGCTACGTCTCTTATTATGCTAATTTCTGGTACTAATTCCAGTGCTAGAAAGCAGTTCCAAATCATGTCTGTGAACATTCATTCTCTGGTTGGAACTGAGCAGTGAATATGAAAACCAGATACGAACAGTTGCGTAGCATGAAATAAAGATATTGAATTCTTCCTGTTTCTGCTATCGTTTGCACAAGTTTAAAAAATAATTTAAAAATTCCTGAAACTTGTCATGAATCTTTGGCTGAACCTGTGAGTACAACAAGTATTAGACACATCTAAATTTCTTAGTGTCTTTGTATGGCTGAGTGTTAAGGAATTATATTCAGAAATAAATTACCTCAGAAAACCACCTTTATTAACTACTCAAAAAAAAAAAAAAACCAAAACAACAACCGATGGGGAAATCCTTTGGTCTGGATTGTTTCCCACTGTACTCCTCTTAACTTTTCCATTATACAGTAATCCCAACTTTATAGGCTGCCATCCAAGAAAGCTTTGGAAAAAGGTCAATTCCTGACATAAAAATTTGCACTAATAACATATCTTTATGCCAGATAAACTTGGTCTAGCAGACATTTTCAGAAGTACATAAGTGATTTAAAGGGATAAATTACACAGAAATCAGTGGGACTTTGACTTAGAGCTTTGAAATCTGGGAGCTCTGAAGCAGAGTGGGGCCATCTGCTGAACAAATGCCGAAGAGCCACCTCCAGATCCTTGCAAGGCTCAAAGGTGGGCTTTCAAGAGCAGCCAGACAAAAGAGAGATCAGAAGCTGGTAGCCAGTGGAAAGTTGTAGCTAATTTTAATATGGTAGCTGTGGTATACTTTTCTCCTTAAATTGGAAAGATACAGGGCAAGGATTGATAACCCTCAATTCATCTTCACAAGTTGCACCTTAAAATTGAATACAGCCCTGTTTCTGTACCTACTTGTTCCATTATTATAAAGGGAATCATGCATTTTTAATACTGCTTGCGCTCTCAAGGTCAGAGTGGAGGAAAAAAAAAAGTGCTGCAGATACTGAAATACTTGTACACCTGTCTGAAATAAGGAAAAAGTAGTAGTAGCTTCAGTCTTGTAAAGGTAGGAAATGGAACTCTGCAGTGAAAAACTGCATTCAGAGTTAGGGGCTTGCTTTAAAAACATATTTTCAGCAGTTTGAAATCCAGCTCCCTTAATCGGGAGTGGTTCTCTTAAGAATGTAGAAATACAGGGTGGAGAGACGACTTCTACTCCTAGTATTTTTAAGACTTCTGTAGGTAAAACTAAGTATCTATTGTTTAAAAATAAAAAATGTAGCATTTTCTGTTCTTGACGGTATTTGGCATGGCAAAATGGTGTTGAACAACATATTTTGAAGAAATATTTAAAGTTGATTCCATGAAGAAGTACGTTCTGTGACAGAGCAGCTCTGGCAGTGTTCACCGCAGTATTTAATACAAAGTTTTCTAAACAGCACATTCAGTTGAAGAGCTTAATTAGAGTGATACGTTTGCTACAGATGTTCATTTTGGTATATGGGAAAGACAGACTGTTATTCAAAAGTCACATTGTGCCTACAGTTAGATAATCTGAGACAATCTAGTTTAGCTGTTTTTCCTGTCAAAAAGCACGGTTGCTCTGTGTGAACTCAAATGTCATTTGTTTTTAAACATATCTGCTTTATAACAAGTACTCTACCAGTTTCTCAGGAACCATGGGAACAGCAAGATTATTTTATCACTGAAGTCTTATCAACACAAATTTAGATGATTTCTGTGTTCCTTTCAGGACAGGTGTAGTCAGCACAGTGTCAAAACTGGCAGCTAAAATTTTGAAAATTGGATAAACAACTAGGAAGTGGGAGACTCTTTTCTGGTGGAACTGCACCAAACCATCTGCACTAAAACCCCTTTAAAAAATAAGACTAAAAACTCTTAAATCACTTAAGAACTTCTGAGAATTGTTGTGTATATCCTTAAGAAATTGCGTTTATTTTTATGTCCTACAACTCTAACACCATTGAAATCTGCATGCACGGGAAGTGGACCAGTGAGTCTTAATTAATTTTTCATTTCAGTTTGCTGTGATCATTTTGGTTGTCTTGAAAAGTTTTGGCTTGCTTAGAAAAATCTATCCTGACAAGAAGGATGTATTTGTAACTAAAAAAAAAAGGGCAGAGAAACACATTTTAATTGAATGCTGTTTTTATATTAGCACTTGATTTTTTTTTTCCCCCCATTGTTCTAACTGATATCACAAGACATGTTGTTATTTTTAATCATTTCTAGAATACCCAAAGGATAAGTAGTTCTCAGTCTACACAGCCTCTTGCTACCCCTGTGGTGTCTGTGACAACTCCAAGCTTGCCTCCGCAGGGACTGGTGTATTCGGCCATGCCTACTGCCTACAACACTGGTAAGCATTGTTTTTAATAAGGGGCTTGATTTGTCAGATGTACAAGGCTTTTGTGATTCATAAGCCCAGAAAATTTGCATTTCTGTGACACTTCACTTTATTTTCCTATTCAGTTCAAATGAAGCCTCTTATTCATCAAAAATGAGCCTTTAGCTTGTAAAATGTGTAAATGTTGAGACTTACATCGGGAAGAAGCTTTCAGTCAGGTTGCACACAGCTGAATACAGAGAAATGCACAATAAAATGCATTGCTTACAGCAGTAGTATTCAAACTATCCATCTGAGAACTGAAATGCCTCCCATTTAAGCAGTAGTTGATGCTTCAGAGCATACTGTCCCTTTCGTTCTGCTCTGCTCAGCTCCAGCAGCAGGAGGAAAACGGATTCTGCTGGGGTTTTCCATTTACAAAAAAGCCCAGATGTATAAAGCCCAGATAGGGCCTTCTCCCCTTCACTAGTTTTGTCAAGAGTGAGGTTGGGGAAAGCATTGTCTGCGTTTCACCATTGCGAGTCTCTATTATCTGAAAGACCTTAAAACTACTTTGTATCAAAGCTGGGTGTGATGCAAGGAATATGGTAATACAAGTGATATTTGGTTTGCCGATTTAGAAAGTAGTTCGTGATGTGGTGCATCCTACTTTGTCTCCATACCAATAGAGATAATTTTGACTTCAGTCTCAAGGTTCTTTATATGTTACAGACCCTGTATGTAATCAGTGAAGGAATTTTTGTAATCATTTCCTTGAAAGGCTGTGGCCTTGATGGTGTGAGGTTGATTACCATTGATCTGTGATGCATAGTTTAATTTTCAAATGCACCTGCAGAGAAACTACATCGCAGATAAGTGTTGATAAATTTTGTGAGTCAGAGTTAAAATAGCTATTTGTTAAAACTAAAAAGGAAAACAAAGGAAATAAATTCCCCAGTTCACTGTTCTTTTTAGATGAAGTCTAGTTAAGACATTCAAATGTAAAATGCTATAATTTGTTAAAATAGGAATTTCTGAACTGGGGACCACTGTGTTGTCAATGTTAAGTCTTATTTGGTAGGCTTTCAAATTCTAAAACAAAACAAAAAAAATCTTGCTTCTCTCTTCTGCAATGATAGCTCTTAGGAATAGAGCTGCACTAGAGAGCTTGCATTTATAGCTGATCAACTCTGGCTAGACAGAAGTGCCTAAGAGGAGTATTCTTTTCTTTTTATGAATCTAGGAAGATCCACACCTCTGTAGAAGGAGATTCCCCAGTAGCATTTCTTCCCTTGACCTGTATCTTCTTTGGCTATACAGAAGTAGCTGGCAGGCATGAGATGCTCAGAAGCCTGGGAGGCAGTGGAGGGCATACTAGGAAGGAATAAGTCACTTTTCCTTAAGGGGCCACTGTGTTGGATTTACGTGGCAAGATTTTGGTGGTGGAGGGGAAAGGGGACGGGGACACACGCATGCTGCAGGGGTGGCTTCTCTAAGAACAGGTCAGGAGCTGCCCCAGTGTCAGACAGAACACGTTTCAGCTGGCTTCAAAATGTACCTGCTGCTGCCCGAAGCTGAGCCCGTCAGCAACGCTGGTGGCACCTCTGTGATAAATATATTTAAGAAAGTGTCAAAACCACTGTGCTGGTCTATTGTCAGTGACCTGATGTTCTTACTCTTGTGCAAAAAGGTCAGGACAAATCCAAAAAAAAACTTCAAGGTTTGTAGAAAATGGCCAAAGCCTGAGTGATAGAGGTTTCGTCATTATCTTAGTTTTCTGCAAGGATGGGCACCATCAGAAGTCTATAACATTGGAAGGTAGAATAGATAGAGCAGCCATCCATTCATACTGATTTCCCCCCCAAGAAAGATGGGATCTTTTTACATTTTCTCCGCTTTTTTTTAACTTTGGAAGTCTTCACGACGTTTTTACTTTAGGCTTGTAGCTGTCTTCCAGCCAAACACCTTGCATCTTTTTGTATTTGTATCGTTTTGTATTAACGTGCTCACTAACTGATACTTCCTATCCTTCAGCCACTTTCGGCATTGGTTTGCATCAGAGGCACTGCCCCCAGGCAGTTACTGGGAGGCACGAGGTCTGCATTTTGAGGGACTGTTCAGTCACCAGCAACAGTAAATACACTGCAGTAGCACCTAGCTAAGTTGTTGAACATTTATGTAAATAATCGCTACCCTGAGGGGGGGTTTAAAGCCTAAAGAAATACATGAAGGAGAAGATGGGGTTGCAATAACAGTATAATGAGCTGAGCGAAAAATTGTGTTTGGTGAGTTGTTTTGGATTATAAGCTTAAGTATGAATTTGCTGGATGTACACAGATCTTGGTTTGATGCTTGCCACAAAGATTGTTTATATATTGCACTTAATGGCTGTTTAAAGTAAACAGATAGTTCTGGTCCCTGCTCAGAAGACCCGCATTGAGTTTTACCTGTCACCTAACAAATCCCTTCATTCTCTTAGGCAGTCTGACGTTGTTTCAGGAGACAGTGTTGTATGCATCCCTCATCCAGAATAACCTGTAAGGTGAAGGATAAAACATCAAAATATGAGAGAGGATGTAGTCTGAATCTCGGGAAGCTGCAAAGAATTGAAACTGGTGTCCTGTGCAATGGACAAGTGCTGTTATCACTGGGATGTGATTTTAAAAACCAGTCCATTTCCTTTGATAATGTCATAATTTGTGAAAGGCTTTTAGCCTAAAGTGTTTTTCAGACACTTTAAAATTCTTTCTATTAGATTGAGCCTTTCGGGGGATTTGCAAAAAGAAATTTGATGTTGAAACTAAATTGTCATCTGGGTATTGTCAGGGTAGTCACCACTTATGTAGCAATTTCAGTTCTGCAGTTCAAGGACTGAGATAAAATTTAGATACCTGCATTGTTTTTCTGGATTTATATGGGTTTTTTTCTGGACTGGAGGGGAAAGATTCAGCTCTTAGATCCTTAATTAAAATGTTGGATATCAGTTTTGCACAAATAGGCTATTTTAAATAATTTGTTTTGCTGGGGAAGTATTCTTTCTGCAGATTACTGGAGGATGGGCCAGAACGAACTGAGTTACTTGTTCTAAAACAGTCTAGGCATTTTTAAAAAAATACTCAAAACCCACAGAGACCAGTTAAATAGTAACTTACACTTGAGCAGAGCATATCTAGCCATAAATTATATTACTGGCTTTAGGTCAGTTATTTTGCAAAGGCACAAACTTTAAAACTATTTTGTTGTTAGGGTCACAGCAGTAATGGTTTCCATCATGTAGAGGGCACTCTTTTGTCTGAACAACTTTTCCATCTTGCATCAAGTCACTCATGTATAGAAATTGATGTGCTGATTTTACTGCTAGCAGGTAGAAAATTAGGGAGATGATAATGCAGCTACTTGTGTAGTGGTATATGTATTCTTTGGAAAAGTATCTCTTCAAACCTCTGTCATCAGACACGTTCTGTCTAAAGTACCAGAAGTTAATTGTCCATTTTCATAAAAGCTATAATTGCAAAGAAAAAAAAATACATGGAAACTGAATTCCTATAAACATTTTCTTCAAGTCTGCTCTTACAGAAATCCCACTGGCACAGAACAGCACATCCATCTCAAGTGTTTACATTTACTACACTTGCGGGTTGTCATAGGTCTGGCTGCTTTGAAGGTTGAGTCCTAGTCATCGGAGGGCTGGTTTTAGTTTTTATTTTAGTTTTTATTTTGGTCTTGCAAAAGGGCTTTGGGTCAGTCAGCTTGGGAAAAATCTTTCCGAATCTGTGCAGAAGTACTTGTGAGGGTTTTTCAGAGTTCCAATAAAAATGCTAACTGAGAAGAAACGAAACAAAAAAAGGCAGCTTACGTAGCTTCACCTGCGGGGGTGCAGCTGGGATTCCCAAGATCTTCAGGAAGATTCTTGCAGTGATGTGTGTGCACCTCTGAAAAGCACGATACCCTGCTGGCACTGGGCTCTCTCTCCTTTGTAGGCTGTTAAAAGGGAGACCAAGAAGTTGTCCACAGCAACCAAGCTGGTGGATGGGAATGGGGAAATCGTTCAAGAAAGCTTATCTCAAGAGAGATAAATCATAATGATGTTGTCATGTTAGGATAATGCTAAAACAAACAAACAAACCAACCAACCTACCAACCCCCCCCCCCCAAAAAAAAAAAAAAAAACACAGACAAACAAAAACCACAGAACAAAAACCCCCAAAATAAAACCTAAACACAAACCAAAGCAAAACACAAACCATACTTAAGCAGAATTTTTGGTTCATCTGCTGGCAGTATAAAGTAAGTTTGGCTGCTAGCATTTTGTCGCATTCTCAAGAGACTAGAAATTATTTTAAGGAAGCTGTATTACAAAATAATTAAAAGCAGAGGAGTGTTTGCTGAAAGAAAAGCATGAGTGATAATGATAAAGTGAAAATTATTTCACCTGTGAATGAAGTGAGAACTGTCTAAGCATTATGGCCTAGCCAAAACTAACAGCTGGTCATTGACTGTTGATTAGGAATATATTGTATTTTCTACTATCTGTTTAAGTTGTCTTTCTAAATAATCACATTTTTTGCTTTAAATAAAGAGATTTCTTTTTGTTTATTTGGTACAGAGATGACAGTTTAATCAGACATAAAGTAAGGAGTGAAATGATTGTGGGGAGGGGGCAGAATGTGATGCGTTACAGTAGGACTGCACAAATGGAGTGGACGGAGGGGTCACTAAGGTTCCCAGTTGCCTTTGGTCATCCCATCCCATCAGCACCCAGCCCCTGCCTGTGCCTCCCCACCCAGAGTGCGGCTGCGCCTTGTCTGACAGACTGCTGGCTCCCATCTGGGAACTGAACCAGAGTCAGGATGTCTGTAGTAAATTCAGTGCAAGAAACACCATTCCTTTCTAACGACTTGCGTGAATTCTTCCCGTTTTGTTTCATTTTGAGATTTCCATGCGAATGAAAGTCTTCAAAAATGCAAATACTTGTCTTACTGTAAGATGCATGTGTATATATAAAAATGCATAAATATGTTGTACCTGTGGGTTTAGAAGAAGCTGTATGAGACAGCAACATGTTAGGTGTTGAAAGCAGAATGCAAAAAATTGTCATTTGGAGGCTTATGTCCTGTTAAACTCCTTGTGAAGTTAGGGAGGACTGCTGCCAGACTTCAAAGTTTTTGCATTTGTACTCCTTTGGGTCACTTGCCTTTATTCGTTTTGGGCAGAAAGCCTTTGTATTTGTGTGTGTGTGCACGTGTATCACACATACTCTTATCTATGTGTTTTTTATATATATATATGCACACATGGATGTATATAGAAAAAAATAAATCTATGAACTATTTTCTTCTTTATTTGTTTTTTCCTCTTAGATTACTCCTTGACTAGTGCAGACCTGTCTGCCTTGCAGGGATTTAACTCCCCGGGAATGCTGTCCTTAGGGCAGGTGTCTGCCTGGCAGCAGCACCATCTCGGTCCGGCAGCCCTCAGCTCTCTTGTGTAAGTACATCCGGTAACGTCTCGGTACTGCACCCGATCGGGAACTTTAGCCGCTTCAAGCTGAATAATCTGCACTGGGGAATATTTAGCACAAAACCATTTTAATTTCTTGTCTGCTGGTGACGGTGCATTGCCTTTCAGGGTTGCTCCTTGGCTGCAAAAGCATTCGTCTTTCATGTTGTTTGTCCCTTTTGTCCGTTCAGTCCTCAAGCTGACAAGCTCTGTCCCTGCAGGCCCAGCTTCTTACAAAGGAGTCACCTGTGTGATGAGCTGAAATGTTTGGAAATAGGAAATTATTTTTCTTTGGTTTAACTTCTATAAATGCAGTTCAGACCTTTAATTAATGCCTTTTTTTCAACTTTGTTTCTTCACTTCAGTAAGTCACATTTATTTACATACTCATTTTGCGGGTGTTGAACTGCAAGACCACACTATCACACAGACGCATGCATTGTCACTTTTCCTTTTGTCGTGTTTTCTTATTTCTACCTTTTGGTTTTCTTTTTCCCAGTACTGGCAGCCAGCTATCTCAGGGTTCAAATTTATCCATTAATACCAACCAAAACATCAACATAAAATCTGAACCAATTTCACCTCCCCGGGACCGCGTAACTCCCTCTGGGTTCCCGCAACAGCAGCCGCAACCGCAGCAGCAGCAGCAGCAGCAGTCGCGTCAGGAAATGGGTCGCTCTCCCGTTGACAGTCTCAGCAGCTCCAGCAGCTCCTACGACGGCAGCGATCGGGAAGACCCAAGGAGTGATTTCCATTCGCCTGTCGTGCTGGGAAGGCCACCGAATTCAGAAGACAGGGAGAGTCCATCGGTAAAACGAATGAGGATGGACACGTGGGTGACATAAACTCGCAGTGTTGCCTCTTCAGTTTTGTGTTCTCAAAAAGAACTGTCCTGACATATCTAAATTTATAAATAAGGACATGAAATAAGTATATTTATATGTATATACATACGTGCATATATATATCTTCACATGCATATATATGTGCTAGTGTGTGTAGCATACACAAAATCATCAGGCACTTAAGACAAACTTCTTGTATAGCTGCAGATGTCCCATGGTAAAACGTAACGGAACAATCCTATAGGTATTGATCTAGTCTGGCACTTACCTGGACTTGTTGTTTTAATAATATAACCTGTTTTGCAAAGGATCATTGTACCCGCATTATAATCCTACCACACTAGATTGCCGAAACCGAGAGGGCTCGCCTGTAGTAACGTCCCTGTGTGTTTTATTCAAGCTGTATGGTTACTTGTAGTTAAGAAATAATGCTTTGTAGCAGCAGAGCAGTAGAAAAGCAGGAAGAAGAAAGCAATACTGTACATAAAATGACCTTTATATTACCCAACCTGGCATGGGTCTCTATTGCAGAGGGTGCATGGAGAAGGGCTGATGCTATAAGAAATAGTAATTAAAAAAAAACAAAAACACAAAAAAACCACAAAAACCCTGTTTTGCACGTGCAAAAAAAAAGTGTATTGGGTCAAAGAAGTGATTTTTTTTTTAATGAGTGAAAGAGAGACATAGAGAACTCGCATGAAATATTCAGAAAATATTAGCCTAGGAAATAGAACGTTAACAAAATAAAATTAATATATTAAGTTATAATTGGAATATGTTTGACAAATTTGTTTTTACGTTCATACCTTTGAAAAATATAGAAACGGATTTTAGCTCATGTATATTTTATATTAAAGAAAACAATACCCTAATGAATTGAAGACTATATATAAAGTTATATACAGTACTTTTGAACACATTCTGCTATGAATTATTTATATAAAAGCTGTATGTTGTAGCTTTTTTGTAGAGTATAGTTTTATCTTATTTTGACTTTCTAGTTTTTGCTTTCAAAGATGAAAAGGAAAAACTTGCAGGCGGAACCTTGGGGGAAAAATAAGCCATGAACACTTAATATGTAAATTTAAATTTGAGCCAAACTCTTTGTGTATATAGCATCCTAAATATATTATCACCTTTGGTGTAAGTACCTATGTATTGTACGTTCACCAGATTAAAAAGTATATTTTTGTGGATTGACGCCAACTTGAAAAAAGGCGAGGTCCTTATTAAGTAGAGTATTCACTGTTTAATATTTACTATTTTGTTAAATATACTGTACTTTCTTTGGATTTTAATTATTATTAATATTATTATCCAGATTTTTCAGAGGGTGTATAAAGGGGTTGTCCCCCTCACTGGTGGTGAATGTGTGCCGTTAAATTGTAATCTCTGTGCTGTATGGTTAAGCTTCATTATACATTTTATATATATGTATATAAATAGCAAAGTGGCAAAAAAAAAAAAATCCGGTGTTAAGTTCATCCTGCATAAATATAAAAAAATCTGTTACAACACATTTTAAGGCATCATTTTAAAGTTGCCTCTTCTGAGGAGGAAAAAAAAAAGAAAATGAAACCAAAACAAAAAAAAAAACCAACCAGTGGAAAAACTTGACCTAATTTCTCATGATAGGGAAATAACACATATCAGATGAGCACAAAAGGTTTTTTTAAGTTGGTAAGTGGTTTGGGATAAAGCCTCAGCCTTGGAAATAAACGTGCCGCTTCCACGAAATAGAGCGAGGAATCCAGAGCCCCATTGTGTGGTAAGGTTTGGTTTTGTAGGTGGATGCGGTAGCACGGTCTTACTGGCAGGGCCTGGCTGCGTTGTGGCCGGAAGGACAAAAACTCCCGGCCACTCGTGGGCCCTGCGGGGGGATTGGTCCGAGCGCTGGGTTTGGGCAGCAAAAACTCTTGGGAGCCAAAACCTCGGCGTTCCGGCTTACACCAGCCTGGTTTGGTGTAGGGAGGGTTCTTGCCCTGCCCAAATCTGGGCTCTCTCTGGGTCCTTCCTCTGCATCTCATCCTCCTGCACGTGGGGAGTGTTCGAGGAACCAAATCTGGTAGATAAAACTTAAGCCTTACTGCTGGTAGTTCTAGTGCTGGGGAAGAAACTGCAGTGCTGTTTTATTATCCAAACTCTGTCAAAGTTATCCCTGATATTCATTACATTTTTGCTTGGGCTTTAATATTTTTTTTTTTCCAATTTTAAAAAAAAATCACTTGATACTGTAACGTAAGAAGTGTGAGAAATGGAAATCCAAGGGGCAGAGCTCTCTCCCCGGCTGCTTGCTTTAACGTGTGGTTGAAGGAGCGTCGCTACCTACACCTTCCACAGCCCATCTCTTGTTGTCATGGCAACTTTAAAAACCCTCCAGGTTTCAGTTCCTTTCAGCCACTTCCCCCTGGGAATTTGGTCTCCATTTATTGTAGTGAGTTAGCGGTTTACAGAAGCAGAGGGGAAAATGAGCCTCGTTCCAATGGCAACTCTGTTTCCGAAGTGACCAAATTCACTTACCGCTTCAGAGAACCTTTTAATGCTCTGGGAAGCTATGTGATTTCTTTTCATTATTTATGCACATATATGAACTTTGCTGTACATCTGAGTGGGAGTTCTGCATTCACATTTACTGTCTATTTTCTTGTGTGCCTTATAAGATGGCTTTGCTGACTGTATCTCAATAGTCTTTATTTCTATGCAGGTTTTTAAAGCAGTACTATTACTGTTTTCTTAAAAAAAAAGCTACATAAGGGTTAGAGTTTGTATTGAAATTGCACCAATGAATTAAAAAAACCACAAACCACACCACCCAGTTGGTTCTGAAGAACTGCGAAGGGGAGCGTTCACTCCTTCCCCCTCGCCCTCCACCAGACTCAGCAGAACAAGTCTTTCCGCAGAGCTCCCCTCAGGGGGAGAATCTCGTGCCACTGAATAAATGGGAATCCTGATTTTTAATAACAAATAATGAACTTTGGAACATACTTTTTTAGGAATTGTAAAAATGTTTTATAAAAAAGAAAAAAAAAGACATAGCACAGATATTTCAACAGGTAAAAAATACTTTTTTTAATTAACTATACTGAATGAAGTTGCAAGTGGATCCAATCCTAGTCTGAACCCACTCAAGTCTGAACCATTTAAGATTTTTATCTCCGTTGTGACAAACCGCCTCTCCATCTTCGAGCTCTCACTATAGTATTTGAAAGTACACGGTATCAGGGATTCGTCAGAGAAAAATGCTTTAGCCTTTCCTTTCACTTAAAGGACACTAATGCATCAGAAACTTGCGAATTACTGTGCGCACAAGAAATACATAGTAAATAAGGAACAAAATAACTCCTAACAATTGATCCTGGGAAGAAGTTGAATCAGAATGTGAAAGAAAGACTTAACAAATGTAAACATTTAAATCTTAGTAGAAACTTTCTTCACTTTGCTGTGCAAGAGAACACTGCTTTGCTATATTTAAAATGGCTTTTTTAAAAGAGATTTATGTATTTGGTAAATGTTTGTAGTCAACAGTTCACAAAGAAGCTGTTCACGGTTTAATGATGATAAGCCGTTTGGCGGCACAAGCTGGACTTTGTTGCCATCCTTGAGACGAATCTTTTAAGAAAAAAAATAAGTTAATCTCGATTTTTTTTTTTCCCTGAATGTGTTGTTTTTTCTTCAATATACAATAAATATTCTAGTGAACTTTTTATCAAATGGTTAAGAAAATGCTAGAGGTTGTTGTAAAATATTTGTATCCTGCATTCACTAAAGTAAAGATACTGGCTTTTACTGTGTACTCTGGCCTCTCTCGTGTTTGCAGAGCACTCGTTCCTGTTTGGCGCCTCTGGAATAGTCCTCAGGCTCAGTGTTGAAGTCCTGGTTTTAAACCGCAGCAGTGACTCTTCTAATCAATGTGGATTTTTTCAGGGATACGTATATTTGTTATTACGTTCAAATTAAGAACTGATGCTCTCTAAGAACTTTATTACAAACCGCTTACAGAAATTTGCAGAAAAAACACGGGTAAATTCAGACTGGTGAACCGAAGGCCAGGCCGCCTTCCCTCCCACTGCCCCTCTCCAGAGGATCGCCTTCCCCTTTGCTGCCCCATTCCCATCGGTGCTGTGTTTTGAAACCAGGAAGGGGCTGGACGGGGGTCTGGAACAAACGGCTTTTGTGCGAGAAGAACCCTGGCAGAGAAAGGCGTTCTGACTTCTCACTCTGTGTGCGGGGGAGATGCCGCAGGGCACTCGGCTTTCTACCAAAAGCGCTCAGCTGGGCGACAGCACAGTCAGGGAGTGGTA